TAGGATAGGATAGGATAGGATAGGATAGGATAGGATAGGATAGGATAACAGAGTTGGAAGGGACCTTGGAGGTCTTGCAATCCAACCCCCTGCTTAGACAGGAACCTATACCATTTCAGACAAATGGTTATCCAATCTCTTCTTAAAAACTTCTGTGTTGGAGCATTCACAACTTCTAGAGGCAAGTTGTTCCACTGATTAATTGTTCTAACTGTCAGGAAATTTATCCTTAGTTCTAGGTTGCTTCTCTCCTTGATTAGTTTCCCCCCATTGCTTCTTGTCCTGCCCTCTTCTTTGGGGAAAGCCCCTGAGATATTGGAACCCTGCTATCATATCACCCCTTGTCCTTCTTTTCATCAAACTAGACATACCCAGTTCCAGCAACTGATCTTTATAAGTTTTAACCTCCAGTCCCCTAATTATCTTTGTTGCTTTTCTCTGTACTCTTTCTAGGGTCTCAACATCTTTTTTACATCTTAGGGACCAAAACTGGATGCAGTATTCCACATGTGGCCTTACCAAGACAATATAAAGTGGTATTAACACTTCATGCGATCTTGATTCTATCTCTCTGTTTATGCAGCCTAGAACTGTGTTGGCTTTTTTGGCAGCTGCAGCGCACTGCTGACTCACATTTAAATGATTGCCCTCAAGGACTCCAAGATCCCTCTCCTAGTTAATACTATTGAGCAAGGTACCACATGTACTGTACCTGTGAATTTTGTTTTTCTTGCCTAAATGTAGAACTTTTACTTCTTTAAGGACCTCTGAAGATCCTTAGTGTTGTATTCCAGTCCAAAATTACTAGCTGGGCTGTCAGTCTTAACAACCTTTGGAGTACCACATGTCTGTCACTCTCAATTTATAGAATGACATACAGTCCTCAGCAACTCTTCCTCCAATTAAATAGGCTAGAAAAGTTGCTCTCTTAGCATTTGTTTTAAAGCAATTTTAGTCTGGTTGAAGCTCCATTGCCTTTGCTTATCTAAGAAGTGTATATTTCAGCACATTAATAAAAAACATTGGCTGCAAGTCAATATATAATAATTGAGTGAACTCTCTTGGTTCTTGGCAAATGGGATGGTACAGGATTAGATATAATACATAGTACCCCAGTGTTAAAGCAGGTCTATTTGTAACTTAGTCATCAGGTCTCACCTTTAAGAATGAGATCTGGCTATGTTTCAAAACAATGCCATAATTTACAGCAGAAATAGGCACCCTAAAGTCTAGAGATCAAAGACTGATGCTACATATTAATAAATTGGGGCATCGTGCTTCACTCATTTCAAGATTTTGTGGAAACAATTCTATTTCAGAAATTACCAGTTCTGCTCTGATAATTGGTTAGAGACATTTTTTTTTTTAATATAAAGCCTTTCCATTATATCCTACACAGCCTGTTGGACCACAGAGGAATGAAAGAAGCCAACGCAAAGTTGGCTAATACATGTAATCCTTGACTTATGACCACAATTGAGCCCAAAATTTCTGTTGTTAAATGAGACAATTGTTAA